AGTAAAGAAGAAGAAGAGAAGAATTGAAGAAGAAGAACAAAGGTCTCGTCCTCACTCTCGAAGGGGTCGCAACTCGCAAGGAAGAGGAGAAGAGTAGCGATTCGCCAACGTTTGCAAAAATACCCCAAAAAAACCCTAATTTTGGCTTTTAATTATTAAATGAGACCTTTTAAAATAAATAAATTAAAAAGGCGACGCCTTTCGCTTCGCCATGTCGCCTTTCAATCGTCATAGCTCGCCATTCTGAATTGCCTCGCCTTGCCGGAAATAGGCGATGCTGCCTCGCCTTTCGTCTTTGGCGAGAAGGCAAGCGCATTTCAAAACACTGCCTCTAACGAGAAGTTTTTATAGCACACAAATATTATGACATGTTTAAGACCACAAGGTTCGAAAATCTTATAACCTTGTATCAATGACATGTTTAGTACCACAAATTTAAAAAATATTTCTTTCTTTCTTAAACTTTGATCCCAATCAAATAGGTTCACATAAATAAAAATGGGCGAAGTACATTGAATGCTTTACAAACATACTATATTTGTAGAGATTTTCCTACTTCGTATTCTTGTCTATCTATGTATTAACAGAGAGCATGCAATGCCCTGCGTATGTGGTGTTTTGAGTTAATAACTATTTACATGAAGACTAAAACACTTCAGTCACTTAAATGTCTAGGGAGAATCGTATGATCTTGTCGTGTACTTGCATAATAACCTACGTAGAGATTTTGAGCACTGGCTTGCAACTAACATTTGGAAAATGGCCATTTCTTCACTGTTAATTATCTTTCCTGCATCCTAGCTTCTTATTACATTCTGCTGAGTATAGTACTTTTTGCATCATATAAAGAATGAGTAGATGCTAGATGTGAGCCATCAGCTCTCGACATCCTTTGTCCATTGTTTGTCTTTGACAATATGAAATGTTCAAATATGTATGCTCAAGTCATGCAAAATATCTGCCTATTGCGTTCTACATAACTTAGTCAACCAATCATAAGAAAGTCATTCACACTACTATTTCCAGCCAAGAAAGCAAATATTCTTCTTGTGTTAATAAAATCTCCTAAGATAGTATGCCAATTGAGGTCGGGTACAACTAGATATTATAATATTTTTTGGTGATAAATAGTGAAGACATTTAAGTTGCAAAAAAGAGGACTGATACTAGGCAACTGCTGCTAGAAACAATATGTCAGAATTGCTATAATGTCATCAAATGATGTGAATAAGTATGAAGCTGTTACTGAGCAACAAATTCATATACTGGAATTTTGTAAATATGGTCACATAGGTGTCTAGAGGGAACCCCTCCATAATGTGGTACTATTACTCTGAAATATTCAACTAATCAGCTTCTTAAATCTATAAGAATAAACCATCTCTCCCACCCAAAGATGTTCTAAAAACACAAATATCAACATAGTAAAGCAAAAAGTCACTACTAAAAAACTTCCATTTTTCACTCAAGCTTCTTAATTTTCAAGCCAATCAAATCAATTTGCAAAAACAATAAAAAAGCGCCGTAACTAAATGGAAACGAGGGGAAGTAAACATTATTGGTATAATATTTCCCGCAAGTAGAACAAACTCAACTGACTCGTTCAAATGCAAAGTAAGAGAACTTACTCTAACAGTTCCATCGGGAGACAATACGGCGAGATATTCACCGCCGGTAGTGAATGATGTAACTAGGGATTTTAGCTTCTCCCTCGCCATGACAAAAATGGCCGCACAAAGTTAACAACAGAATCTGAGTAAAAGTGTAACGAAGTGGCGAGTCTGCGTTAACGGAGAGAGAAGAAGCACGCAGAGAAATAGAGAGACAAATTGACTTTGTCGGAGAAGGAAACGCTGCAGAAAGAAGAGAAAGGAAGGAGAAAACTCGGCAGAGAGGGTTTTGGCAAGATTTAACGCGATAAAAGTGATTCATAATTGGGCTCCAAATTTTGTTTCACATTTGGGCCGTTACAACGAATATGGGCTTGGACCGGCCAAGTGCAAGGATAACCCGCTTTTCGCTGATTTATGCAAATGATTCATTTTTAGGCCACTATTAAACCTGTCCCTCTTTTAAAATTATAGTCATACAAAACTTACCTTTTGAATAATATTAGATTTATTAAGTAAAACATCTACTCAAAATTTGCTCAATTTTATTATGAAGGGAAAATTGTACATAATGGCAAACTATTTAATTCAAATTAAATGGTATAATCACACTTTGATTTAATTGTGTCTTGTAGCAAACTGTTTGCCAGCGCCTCTCTCGCTCAAACTCTCGCTCGCTACTCTCCTCTCTCGCTCACTCCCTCTGTGCTCGCCTCTCTCACTTTATACAACAGAAGTGTATAAATTGCGTTTCTGTTTGTATAAAGCGAGAGAAAATTGTATATACACATGCAAATACATATATATTCGTCATATACACTTATAATTATACAATAAAAATATTCCCCTGCCCAGTTTTATGTTTGTATAATGTATAATTTATGTTTGTATAAAGTGAAAGAGAGCGATTTTTTATATACAAATATTTTTGTCAACGATTTATACAAACAAGAGGCTAACAACAATTTATACAAAATGGCCTGCTAGCGAAATTATACAATTCTGAAGAGGAGCCAACGAATTATACAATTGCTTCTTTTTGTATATATGTATAGTGAAATAGACAACTTTTAATTGTATATGTATAGCGAATTATACATATTAATGTTTGCTATGGAGCGCAATTATGCAAATTTGCTATAGCATACAAATATGATTTTTTTGTTTGCTATATGTGAAAGATTAGAATATCTCTAATGTTTGTAGTAACTTACAAGTTTTAATGGTACATAAATTAAAAGGGTCATTTACGAATTAAGAGTACTTCTCTATAATAGTAAAAGATGGTAAAAACTCAAAACTGTAATTTGAGATTTTAATCAACATATGTTCATATGAACACACCTTAGAAAGATGAACATCACGAAAACTTTGGATTATAACACTAATATATATATAAGTTAAAAACACGAACTCAACAATTTGATTGTTAACTAGCCAAAATCATCAGTAGAAATAAATTACATCATCACAAATTGTCTCACACCAAACATCAAGAGTAGATTAAGCAATTCATGTAGACCAACATCACAAATACTTTGTGCTAATTAAGCCTCAATGATTAAAGAAAAGAAATATTAACATGTTTATAGATTATATGAACTCTCTCATCCAACAGACTAACAAGATCGTTGATCTTCGAACAAGGCAAATATCAATTATGTGTCATTTATTCATTATTGATTAAAAAAAGGGAAAGTTACACATTTAACCGCTCAACCAAACATATTTACCTAGAGAATATACATGTATTATACATTTGATTATATACCTATTTTGAATTGACTCTCTCACCTAATGGATTACCTTTTTGATTTGGGCTCTCATATTCAGTGTACAAACAACAACTTCTGTTTTGTTTTATAATATATATATACGGAGAGACAAAAGTAGACAAGTTATATATTTCATATTAATTCTCACCTAACTGAATTTATTTAGGTTTGTCAACTAGACAAGGCCCTTGAGCTTCATATATGTTTTTTCACTAGAAAATGAAATCTTAACATTATAGTGAGCATGCAAAAGTTAGTAGCTAGTAGCTAGTGTTGTTTCCATTTATAGAAGATGATGGTGACAAAGTCAATTGGGACCCAAACTTAAGAAAATGGACAATTGGCAACTGCTCAAAACCAAATACGAAAGTGACAAAAAGCTTACTTCTTGCAGTCCGCTCTCACGCTCTTCCTATAAAATAACTAGTATTAAAAAAAAAAAAAAGCAAACGATTCTTTTCCCCCAAAACCATTATACAAGCAAGAACCCTCCTTTTCTTTTACACCTTCTTTGGATGGTTGTTACTTCTTACTTCCTCCGTCCGTCGTATATTAATTGTTCATTTTTTCTTTTATATACTCTTTAAGAAATTATAAATAAGATTTTTTTAGAACTAATTTAACCATTAAAATTTATTTTTGGAACTTACAATTTCTTTTACACATTCAAAAATGAATTACTGTACGAGTAAAATGGAAAAAAACAATCAATTCTCTTTTGATTTTGTAAATAATAATAAAAAAAAAAAAAAAGCAAACGATTCTTTTCCCCCAAAACCATTATACAAGCAAGAACCCTCCTTTTCTTTTACACCTTCTTTGGATGGTTGTTACTTCTTACTTCCTCCGTCCGTCGTATATTAATTGTTCATTTTTTCTTTTATATACTCTTTAAGAAATTATAAATAAGATTTTTTTAGAACTAATTTAACCATTAAAATTTATTTTTGGAACTTACAATTTCTTTTACACATTCAAAAATGAATTACTGTACGAGTAAAATGGAAAAAAACAATCAATTCTCTTTTGATTTTGTAAATTGACAAGTAATTCGGGACAACTACTTTTAGTAAGATGGACAACTAATATGAAACGGATGAAGTATCTGTCACTTTATAATTTATTGCACAATATTGTATTTTTTGTGAATATATAGTTAGAATATATTATATAATTTTACATCAGAAATTTGAAGGATAGACCTATAAAAAAAGTATGATACAAGTTAATTTTTTTTTATTTTTTTTTTAGAATAAATGATAAAATAAGATTATTTAAACAATAAATAAAAGACAAATGAGGTAAAAAAAGAAGAAGAATATTGTTTCGATGAAAAAAACCTATGATTAGCTTTTCGAGAAATTCCTAAACAAGAAATAATGTGGTCATACCAAATGGATCATTGCGTTATGAGATTAGAGTTGAATTCAACGCTTGCTTGAATCTTAATATCATGAAGATTTAATGGAATAAAATAATTAATTAGGCACTTACCTCTATGGGCTATGGGTTAGGCTAACAAAATCCAAATAAATAAAACGGAACGGCTATATTAAAAACTGTGTAATTTGAAATACGAAATCCCTTTCTTTACGCACCCTCTCTCTTCAATGTTATACTATATAAATAGTAGTATCATCTCTCTTCTTCTCATTCCATATATGTGAGTTTTTTTTCTTCTTTTTTTCTATATAAGGTCATTCCATCTGCTTTCGTGGAATTGAAAAAAAAGAAGAAAAATGGCGAATATAGGGATAATGGATAGTGCCTATTTTGTTGGAAGGAATGAGCTATTGACATGGATCAATGCCAGGTTACAGCTTAATCTTACCCGCATTGAAGAGGTATCATACCCCCATTTTCTTGATTTTCTTTATCTTGTTTTGCGTTTTCTTGAATGGCTTTGTTTTTCTATATCTCTTGAGTTTTTTATTTTTGGGGGTGAATTTCAAGGGGTTTTGGTATGTAATTTCTTAATCTGTTCCGGCTTGTGAGTTGTTTGATTTTTCAAATAGTTTTTTCTGTCGGTTTATGGGTAATGTAATAAATGCTTCAATTATCATGTTCACATCTCAAGAAATTGTGCCCTCCTTCTGTTTTTTCCCCTTGTTATTGTGTTATTAGACATTGATATTCATACAGCGAATTCACCTAGTTTGGTTGAGGCATTGTTGTTTCTTTGCGAAATATTCCTCAATTATTTTTCAGAGTTTGGATCCTCTACATTTTGTATAGCTGTGCCTGTGAGTTCATTGAGATTAGATTCATTGATTTGGGATTTTGGTACCCGAGTTGGACGTAGCAGTAGAACTCTGTGTACTGGCTGTGGTTGATTTGATAATTCAATATTTATATCAGGAAGATGTTTCTATAAGTCTTCACGCTGGTCTATGACAATGATACTAAATTCTGAAGCCTTTGTGGTTATTTCTATAGATTTTTTGTAACCTAGCTATCTTAGTTCTCAATGTAGCATATCTTCAAGATAAATGCCTGTTAACATTACTGGTATAAAAGTTATAACCCTGGACACCTGGTGATGCAAATGATCTCCCAAGTATTACATTTATGTTCAACCTAAATTGGTTTAATTTTCCATTTGATCGTTGTAAAGATCAAGTTCTTGAGGAAAGGAACAAAAATAACTTGCTGATGAAATGGGTAGAATTGTATTACAAGTATGATTAATAAACAGTTGAATACAGAATGTGACCATATTATATTGCTGCAGTTTTATCATGTAAAACAATTATTTATTTTTCGTTTCTGGTGCGGAGATTAGCTTTTGGTATGTTCATATGAAATCATGGAGTGTCCAATCAAAATGAGATGGACAAGGAAATTTCAATGAGAAGCCAGACATTGAGCAATGTATGACCGACGAGGTCCAGTCATACAAAAGATAGATCGAAATTTTCTAGTAGGAAGATATTGATCTTAAAACAGATTAAATTTGGTGTTCACATTCTCCTTTCAAATTTATGTTACTAGATAAGCAAATGCCTATGTGATTTATCTATGAAGTAGGGTTGGGCTCGTATCACAGTTTGCTTTAAAGGTTCTAGTTGCATCTTTTTTGTAATGAGTGGAAAAGACTAGCCAACATTTTAGCAACCTTAATATGTTCAGTTATTTAACTTAGTAAGTATTACATGTTATACAGTATAGTAGTAAGCATAGATGATAATTACATTTTGAAATGTTGATGATTTTATTTCTCTTCTAATGTTTTATAACATATTTGATTTACAAATTTATTATGTTAGGTTGCATCTGGGGCTGTGCAGTGTCAGATGATGGACATGACCTATCCAGGAGCTGTTCCAATGCACAAGGTGATTACTGCATGTGATGTTCTGGTGGTCCTATCGTAACTTGTTTGATTTGTTGTGGCATCTTTTATCGATCATATTTGGTTACAGGTTAACTTTGATGCAAAGACTGAATATGACATGATCCAAAACTACAAAGTGCTGCAAGATGTGTTTAGCAAGCTAAAAATTGACAAGGTAATTTCTTACGAAACACATTTCAAGTTTTATGTAGATCTTTTTACTGAGAAAGCTTGACTCCCTTCTTTCTTCCAAATGCTACCCTCTCAGGGCATGTCATATGAAGTGGGGCTTAAATCGTTCAACATACTTGTCTCGCCTAGTTTTTACTTTTCTGTATTTAGCACTTTGGATCTGTGATGGTGCTTATCTTACATTATAAATAATAATAACTATAAAAGTAAAACAAAGATTTTATTTTGTTGGTGGGTTATAGCAAGTACCTGGTGGAATAGTCGAGGTGCAAGCAAGTTGGTCTGGACACCACCGTTATGAAAAACAAATAGTAGATTCTTCTTAGAAGATATTCAGACATACTAATTCAATGCTGATTTTAAGGAATGGTTCCTTTGAGATTTTCCCTTCAGTATTACCCGCACAACTACCTTTTTAACAAAATTTTCAGCCATCAATGTTTACCCTTGATGAAACAAAATAACCTTCTGTGGAGAGGAACTAGATGATTCTTTTTGATAAAATTTACAGTTGGTTTCCATTCTGCTTGCAGCATATTGAAGTTAACAGGCTTGTTAAGGGCCGTCCTTTGGATAATTTGGAGTTTCTGCAATGGCTGAAGCGTTATTGTGAGTCTGTAAATGGTGGTATTATGAATGAGTATGTGCTTCTTCTAACATACTTGAGTGTTTTGTTTCTTTTCTAAAATTTGGATGCCAGATACTCACTAGTTGTCTCTCCTTTGTTGTAATTGTGCAGGAACTATAATCCTCTGGAACGTAGAAGTAAGGTTGGGAGGGAACGAAATGTGAAGGGTTCTCAGAGATCTGCAAAGTCACTTCTAACTAACAACAGTCATAACCCTGGATTAGGGGAAGGCATGACTAAGATTAAAGGTGAGCGTCAGTGATATATTCCTATCTATTCTCAGTTAGTATTACTTTTCTTAAACTATGTTTTTGACTAGGAATAAAACAAGGAAGGTCAAGTCCAGTAATGGGTGGGGTTAATTCTTCAACGGAGATTCAGGCTTTGTCAAAGGAGGTAACAGTCTTATATTTGTGTGAAGTTGGATCTTTCAAAACCTATTGCTTAGCTTTTAACAGATTGATTGAGTGAATGAATAATTGTCTCTTCTAATTTTCAAGCACTATTAAGCTCAATTTAAGCTGGCTTAGTCAATCACAGTACTTGTTTCTGTATGGTCAAAAGATACTCCTATTCTGACATGATCTTGCAGAACTTTTTTGGACCGCCAAACCACACCAAAATGTAAAACATTCGAGGCTTAAGATATGGTTCGCTTAGCATTAATGGATCACATCTGCTGCTGTTGGTTCTATTTTTTTTCTTTCTTTTCGACATTAGGTTCGGATTTTGACAGGAGCCTTAAGTTCAGTTATAGATGTTATGACAGCATAAGGATATGTCAAGATTTGATTCATCCTAACAGATGAATTGTTGAGTAGTGGAGTGAAAAAGACCGAAATGGATATTCCGGATTCTCATAACAGATCCCCCAACTAACAGGGATTGTGGTATAGTTGTTATGGAGTTTTATTGTTTTTCTTTCCTTTGGTGATAAGTATCCCCTGTTTTGGTTGCCTAGTAGTACTTCGAATGCTTAGTGGCACTCATATCTTAACCATCCAGGTTACAGATCTCAAGCTCTCTGTTGACCACTTGGAGAAAGAAAGAGATTTTTATTTTGCAAAGTTACGAGATATTGAGATTCTCTGTCAGACTCCAGACTTAGAAGATGTCCCGGTAAGTTCTTCTCTCCCATCTCTACCAAAAGAGAATTGATTGTGATGTAGTTGCCTAGCTACAAAAAGCTCCTCTATAGTGTGACTTTCTTGTGCATGTCTAACTGATAACAAACAAACATCTCTGAGAAGGATCAGCATATAAGTGATTGTACTTTGTGCGCTTATTGGGATAAAGGAACTTTGTGCCTCCTCCCTTCTATTACATAACCACTGATAGTTTCAAACCCCTAAACCCAGCCCCTCTGTAGCTTACAAATACTACACCAGTTGCTTGTGTCATGGATTTCCTTCATTAATGTTTTCTAATTGTCACATGTATAACATGGTAATGAGAGTATTTATATGGAGTAGTTCATTTTACTTTGCTTTCTTCTGAATTATGCTGGCTATGAGAAATTATTTGACCTTCTTTCTGCTATTTTTTCCCATTATTTAAACATTTACATTGGCATCATGTATGATACTTTTAGAGATTTCCACTTAAGTGATTGTGCGTTGATTGGCAATTGTGTATAAGCATAATACTGAACACACTGCTCCTTCTGTATCTCACAGTTAGAGTAAAGTTTATTCATTATATCATTAATGTGTGTTACGAGTCATCTAAATCAATGGTGTTGTGGTATTATTATTGCATTCCACAGATGGCTATGGCAGTTAAAAAGATATTATATGCTGCTGATGCAAGAGAATCAGCTTTGGCCGAAGCTCAAGAAGTTCTGAGTCACTCCGTGGATGGAAGTAAAAGCTGAACTGGAATTGGAATATGATAAGTAAGAATTGCGTGCAGTAGTTTCTTAATTGTAGAGGTTACTGTTTCATCTTTGGTGAAATGTTGCTAAGTTTCTGCTGTGTACATCCATGTGTTCTTTTTTTGGCTTTGAAAAAAGTCTTTCTCTAATGTGTACTTGATGGAGATATCTCCAGTGAAGCGGAATTTGTATTTCGAATTTCGATGTTTATTAGTCAACTTTAATTGAAAGAGTACCATGTTCCACAAATTGAAAGCTTTTTTCCCTCTTGTTATATTTCTAATTTTCTCTTGCCTTTTTCTTTGTTACTTTTAAATTTCAAGAACGAGTCTTTTCTATCCAGAGATAGATTACACCGTCTTCTGACCTTTACACCAAAACTATAAGTATTGCTAGTTGAATTGTTACATCTTCAGCATGAAAATGAATTTTCAATGTAAAGAACTTGGGAGTGGGCATAAAGCTGAAAACAAAAGGCACTCATTGCCATTACACTGATGCTTGTTATCATGTGGTTCCACATGAAATTCTGACAGCCCCGTATGCACGATACAAAGTGGAAAAGTAGACATATATTAGCAAAATTAATAAAATATTACTAATTGAACAAGACTCTCCTCACCATTATGCTAATGTTTATTGAAAAGATCTAATGTTTTGGCACAAAGGTACAAACATCTTTGCTTGATGTACCAGAGACCGATGCATTATGAATATGTATATTTATTATCGTCGTCCATGGCCGGGCCCGATTAAGGAACAAGTTTAAAAGGCGCAGGTAGTGATTTGAAAGAAGCAAATGAGTGGATGCATTTGGAAAGTGAGTTTTGAAAGAGAATGCAGGTAATAAAATAGAAAAAGACTAATGTGAATCGAATTCACTTCTTTTGCATATAACACAACTTAAGTATGCCGTCTACATATATTCCTAGTTGATTCAAGTACACCTAGGGTCGTTTGATAGAGTGTATAAGAATAATGCTAAACAATAACACTTGCATTAATTACACATAGATTAAGGTGCTATTTGTATTTGTATACTCGTAGTGTTAAAACATTTATTCTACAGTAACATTATCAAAATTGACAAGATATGGATCCTCGGATCAATGTCAAACAAACAAAAAGAAGTCCTCATACTTCTTTACACAGTTAGGAGAAAGAGAACCGCATGAAGTGGGTAAGCATAGGTACTTCAACAGCTCAATGCATTCAAACTAGGAAGAACATATCACAGCCTGTTGATTCTTATCATGAATTTCATTTCCTTTCACCTACTCATCATAGAAACAGCAGCCTTCAGTTCATCCTAATGTGTACTACGGATATTAGCTCCACTCTATATGCAAAATTGAATGTACACTTTCCGATAGAGAGACAGCTTCATTAGTATCAAACCTTTGTACAGGTAATAAGACTTTTTCCCTTGAACCAGTTGGCGTGCATCTATCTCATCGTTCTCATATTTTCACGAGTGATAAACTTTCAGACATCGATGACACCCAACTGCACATGCACAGAGATGCAGATAACTTCCATTAAAATGTATTTGGAATAACAAAATTTTCATCAAATAGTTACCCACTACTTGTGGTTTCACATGATGCAATTGAGTACCGATGTGATCCTTTTATTTATGATGGGAACATAAAAAAAAAACTTAGGGTCACGTCTGCATCATAGCAAGCCGGAGGAGAATCCTCATATTGATGCAATAGGGCATAGGCCCTTCATCCACTTCAAAATGCAGAAAACTTAGATTGATTTAGACAACAGATGACTGGAACTATGAATAATAGCAATATTCGTGAACAGACAAATAAACAAGCTGTACTACAAATTAGATGTGGGCCAGTGGAAAGATGATTATTTGGGATGGACATAATTAACTGAAGTAAATATACTGAGTTAAGAATATGTAGAGTCAGATTATGGTCAAATATCGCGAGTGAGTGTCAACCAAATAGCAGCATGGACATGTATCAACCGTATGATAGGATCACTATGTCACTTGGTATACAGTTCTAACAAGAGATTTATCAAAAATAGCTTCTCTCGGAAACTTCATGCACCGGGAGGGGTTTATCTTTAACAGATTTCTCATTCTTGATTAGAGAAGATGGTGCGAGTTTGCTTTTTGTCAAAGAAATTATTTGTTAGAGAAGATTGTAACTGGCAATTTTTTTTCCCAAAGCATAACTAACCACTCACTGAAAAAAAAGTTAAATGGAATAAATGAGTAATCTCGAAACCTACCATAAATCTTCAGTGATCAGCAGAAAAGTGCAAAAGGAATAGGAGTATGATGAAATCCTAGCTGGATGGTTTACTCTTTCTTGAAACAAGGATCAAGGCACTGTCATCGTTGAATGGATCAGATTTTCTGCAGAACCATCCTGAGGTGCTCTTGCAGTGTTGCCCTTTACCTAGGTAAAAATCCAGAACACAAGAATAAGAACACTTCAATGAAAAGTAGTTACAGCCGGGAATAAGGATAGAGTTCTATAAGGGGATGAAAGTTGTCCCAAGTGCAAACTAAGTCCTATCTGGATTGAATAACAGCAGAAGCTAAGAACTGCTCCTGAATTCTGGAAAGAATAATTCCAGACGCAGGGCTTAAGAGGGTGCCTTCCAAAGTCAACGAGCACTCAAGCATGTTACACATACATGCTAGTATATCTTATGTTCCTCTAACATATCTCTAATTATCTACAATTTGTAATCACAACCTATTTTGTTGAAGTACCTTGACATAAAACAATTATGGGGCAAAGCTACAGCTATTGTATTTCCATTCTCCACTCAGAGAAAATAATATTATAAAAAAGAAAAAATTAGCTTCGACAGAGTAACTGAACTGGATATAATCTAGTACCCCTTGTTACTAGTTCTAATAGTTGTGATTATTATTTCTGTTAGGCACTCTTCTTCACATTTATTGGTTCCACATTCTCTTACATAGATCTTTTTGTTTATCATTTCTTCTTTCTCCATGCTAAGTCAAATGCTAAAATTATTTATCAGGTACTTAATTTGACTTAATTTCTATCAAAGTTTTTGGGCTAGACCTGGACAAGTAAAAGAAGCAGCTGGATGTAACGATAAACAATTAACCACTGAATTATGATTTATTTGTAAACAAGGGAATTTCCAAATCTCATTTATAATTAGTATACACATATTTTCAATTATCTGCAGAATATATTTAAGGATGTGATGAATATATTAGGAAAAAGGGTCTACCTGCGTCATTAGAGATTTGATGACTTCCTTAGCAGCATTATTTTTGTCTGTTTCTATTCTAGCTTCTTCAGTTTTCTCTTGTAGTTGAGTTGATTTTTTCTCAAGCTCAGCCTCTAAGAATAGGGATCTCTGGGTAAGAATCTCTACCTGCATGGGGTATATCTCAGGTGCAATAGAGCACATACAAATCAACTTATACCACAAATTTGTTTGTTTGAAAGGATAAGTATACCTGCAGTGTGAGAATTGAAGTACAAGAACAGTTGGATTATAGTTAAGTGGTGTAGAACTTTTAAGAGTAACTACTTGATTTCAATTAGTGGAATTCAAAAATAATTTCAACTAAATTGGAATAAAGGATTAAGTTGCTGATCTAATTAGTGACTTCTATCTAATGTGACTCTTTTGAAACAATTTAAGAACAGCTCAAATTATGAAATTATGGGTGAAAACACTACCAGCTAAAGAAAAATGTCTAATACAAAAGACGTCTTAAAATAAGATGGGATAGCAGAGCAGTAGATTGGAGAAGGAATGTTAACAGAAGGACAGGTCTCTTAAATAATAGATGCAATATAGAGGAGACAGGAAAAGTTGGTGCAGGATAAATGTTCTAAAAAATCTCGCGTCTTTTGGTTATACTAACAATATAAGACGTCTAGTGAAGGAGAATAATAAAATAAGAACATCAATATGAACTGAATCCAAGTATTAATTGGAAATTGAACTGTCTAGCAGCATAGTATTCAGAAGTCGTAACCATATGTGCAAGGAGATATTATAAGGGAAACTGTATCCACGACAAGTTGGTCTTATGAGGAAGTTGATATTTAAGTTAAATGGTACTTCAGAAAAACAAATCTAAATGTAATTACAATCAATACTTTTGAATGATATACAATTAGTTAACAAGTAACAGCAACTTTGTGAACCAAACCAGGATATCCTAAGTGTGAATAACTTACTGTCAACCACATGCAGCCCGACCATTATATATACTTCTTTTATTCTTTTTTCCTTCATTGGGCTAGTGAGTGATGGTTCCACCAATTTATATAACAAGTTCAAAGTCATTCCATATGTTCCCAAATGTGATTTTAATTCTCAAATATAGAAAAATAAAAAAGTGATAAGTAATTCTGATATTTTAACATTAAACATGTGTCTTCTACTTCAATGATTCTTCTAGGAATGACAGAATGCAGCAACAGTGGCCCTGAAAGATTCGGGCACCATTCTGGTGTGTTTTTGGGGTACAGTGAGTGGTGCCAAAGGATGTTAGAAGCTTAATGTCATGCTGACAGGGACACAGGAATAGCAGCAAACTGAAACAGATTTGGAAAACCATCCCACTGCCCACTGGGCATTATGTGGCTTATATGCCTACAGATAAATAAGAGATGCTTTGAGTAGAATATACAACATCTATCTTTTGTAAAATACAAATGCATTCAGAGCTTATATGTCTGGTGCAAGGAATACAGATTAGAAGATCTTTTTGTGAGTTTTTGGACTGAAGCAAACTTTGTAATGAAGTCTTTGTAATACTTCTTTGTACTTTTTTTGCAGTACCTTCTTGGTACTAGCTTTAATAAAATTACCCTTACTTTATCCAGGAAAATAAATGCAGCAACAAAGAGGGTTGGCAAAAAATCTTGGCAATTTTTACCTGCTCCTTCAATATGGAAATTTCCTTTTTCAGACTATCACTTGTTTGCTTTGAATCATCAAGATCCACTTCGTGATTTGCTTGTGCAGCAAAAGCAGATCTCAGGAACACAGAATTAGATGAACTTGATTCAAAAGAAGCAGGAGAACCAGCTTGAGAACGACTTGTTGATCCAACAAAAGAAACAGACAATTTCTCAGGGCAACTAGAAAAAGACAACAATCGGCTTGATGTTTGAGATACTTCACTCTGAGTATTGCCATTAGGAATTGGAGAGACATTGTCAGAGTTTGAATCTTGCTTCTGGTTCTTTCTAAAACGTTGATCGTCAGACCTGAATGAATTGAATGAGGACAGCCTAGAGAGAAGGCCTTTTTGTTTGGAAGGCGAGGTCTCTTTCCTCCTCTCTCCAGTATTCTTCTGTAAGCTTCCAATAGTGGCCTTTGGTGGTAGACAAGTCAATCCAATATCCAAGCCCCTGTTCAATTTAGTAAAACAATCTTCACACACACGATAAGGTTTGTTCATTTTTGGAGCCAAAGAAGCTCTTACAGATCTTCTACTGGTGCATACTGTGCAAAAGACAAGCCCACAGTTGTAGCAGTTATGACGTTTTCGTCTGAGATTAAATGGACTCTGGCATCCAGCACAAATGGAATTATCAGCAACAGACACTTCTCTGTGTAGACAAATGGCTGCAGTAAAATTATTTCCACAGACCACATCCTTTACTTTTTTTGCTTTCAGCGCTTCAACTAGTGTAGGAGTGTTCCTATCATGATTGTCCCCATGTCCTAGTTGTCCATTTCCTCCCTTTCCCCACGTGTAAAGCTCAGAGTTTGAGCTCAGGGACACTACATGGAAAGAGCCACAAGCTATTTCTTCAATGAAACAATCTGTAATTTTTCCTTGAACACGAGAAGGAAACTTCCCAGTACTTCCAGGAATTCCTAGTTGCCCATAATCAGCTTTCCCCATTGTATATACTTGCCCTAATGTTGTCAGAGCAACTGTAATACTATGGCCACAGGCTACTCTACTGAAGTTAATGCCATCCAACTGTACAACTTTGCATGGAGTGAGTCTAGAAGCATTATCTTCGTGTCCAAGTTGTCCGTCATCCCCATTTCCCCAGGTGAAAAGCTTCCAAGGTGGGGAATTACAAGAACTGGAATCGTCAAAAGAGAGCTCTACCACAGCTGCAGTGTGCCAATGCCCACATGCCACTCGAACTGTTCTTAGTCCTTGTAGAGTTTCAACTTCCCTAGGAATACCAATGCTACAACGATCCCCATGACCTAGAGCACCAAATGTTCCATCACCAAAAGTAAAAAGCTGGCCAACAGATGTTATAACAGCTGAATGCCAAGGACCACAAGAGACATATGAGACACGCTTACCAACTAAAGGACCCCTTACTTTTTTGGGGATCCAGTGACTGATTCCAGTATCATGCCCAAGGAGGCCAAAGTTAAAGGTACCCTCACCCCATGTATAGAGATCTCCACTGATTGTTGTGGCACAAGTATGATAATCTCCGCATGCTGCTGATGTAACATTCAACCCACAGAGAGTGTCAATAAGTTTTGGGCTAGAAACGTCAGATTCTACTCCATGCCCTAGTCTGCCATTTAAGCCCTCTCCCCAACTAAAAATCTCTCCTTGCTTTGTGATTAGTACGGCATGTCTGCTCCCACAAGCAACATATTGAGCATCAAGTAGTAATGCTGATTCCAAGGTCCTTGGTAAAGGTGCATCTCTTCTTGCAGTTTCAAATTTTCCAAGTCCACAAATCCCACCACCAAGCAGGCCATCACCAATTCCTTCTCCCCATATTAAAATGTCGCAGAGGGTATCAGTATTTGCGAAAGATCCCTGGCTAGATGAACTAATGGCACTGGAGAAACTAGATCGGATAGTATCTGCAGAGCTCTGCCCAATTTCATCATCTAAGTTTCCATATGATCTTGAGCTGAGGGAACTAGCAGCAAACTCTCTATGGGAAGAACATTTTGCCGCTGAATTATAAAGTAAATAGTCAGAGAACGCTCTTTCTAATCTCTTTTTTGGAGGACTCTGAGATGGAACTGAACCCAATAGATTTTTCTTTGGGTCCTGTCATGAGAACAAAAAGGGAGTCAAGACCATAAATCAATCAACTTAATGATAAATTCATCATTGTAAGTACCTCATAGGGTGTACTGCTGCTTCCACTACTACTTGACAAAGCAGAGTGAGAACTTCGTTGTGTCACAGAAGGTGAACCATCAGAATATGCTATATCATGTCTTATATCGTTTGTCCACTTTTGACAGTCAACCCGAGATGTCAAGGCCCTGAGAGCAACAAACCAGACTTCTGCCTCTTCCTTATCTTTGCAGATCTGTCAAAGGGTTCAGTTTGTTGATTCTATAATCTAAAGATATAAAATTCTTCTAGAATTCTCCATTTTTCTATTAATAGCAATGGTCTACTACAATCACCGTTTTCTGGATCATCCAATTATCTTAACTCTGACAGTTCTAGTGCATATACTTTGTAAATACATAACACATGCTATAATGATGATCTTTGTGGCAACCATATCTAACCAGTAATGAAAATTAACTTTTTGCGAGGACAGAGGTTCATATTATCCTGCTTCATTAACCCATTTAATCTCTGGAATTTAAAGAATGGGAATTCTCCCTCAATAGGAAGGACACAAGCATTTGCATCTCTATAATATCAGTGAAGTGATGACATGCAAGTACAAAGATATACACTTTCTTAAATGTTGTATTTTTACCAACGAAATGAGCAGTTACAAAAAATCTACAATATATTATTCCTGAAGCAAGCATATGACTCAAAGTGCATATATCATGAAAATACAGATGAACTGTGTTCATGATCGACATAGTAATAGCAAAGATACCCATTCCTTTGAAGCATGAAGACTGGCTAATGTTGACAAATACAGAAAGTGTCTCCCATCTGCAATTAAGCATAAAGATACAATTTCCAATGTTCTGCCATCTCCTCATACTACTTGCATAAGTTATTTCATAGATTTACATTTTACTAAAACAAAAAGGCAACTAAGGTATGAAATAAAAATGCATGGCTAGAATTTTTAACCTCAAAAGAGAGTCAATCTATTAACTGTGGAAGGCATTCAAAGAGCTATCTGTTAATGAATCAATTAACAGCGGTTCAAACCTCAGGTCCATATCTATCATCCCAATAATAAAAAATTTCTCTAAAGAAAAAAAAGATTGGGGGCTATTTAAATCTCACACTTCCCCATACATAGGTAATTAGTCATATCTAACTGTTTGATGATTATTTCTACTCAAAAAGAAATATATGAATGAAGGAATTCCATTTTATGCAAGTACCGAAACTTAGAAGGGAATGTGACGTGCTCTAAAACGGTAAGTATTACTTACCAAATCCAAGGAACTTTTGCCATATAGAAGTGAAAATGACTGATATTCCTTCTCAGGTCTAGGAAACCGCTGAAAATTTGCCTACAATTTCATTTGAGACAAAAATATCAGTCGCACAATACCACTTAGGATGAAGTTTGGTGCGCATAATATTAATAACGTAAGATCTTACAGTTCGTTGACCGGGAATAATCCTTGAAACCTGACTCAATTGAAGCTGTTTCTCTTCCTTTTCAACATACCATATCAGTCTTGTTTCATCCTGAAATTAGTCCATCAGAAGCAGTTGATGGATGATAATTTCAGAATGGGTTACAAAACCTCAGAGGAATACCCCTTATTTGAAGCAGAGAAATAGGACTCTTGTGTGTAAAAGAGTCTCTCTGTGTGTGGGGAGGGGGGGGGT